TCGAATTCACAGCGATCCTCCTATCTCGGTTTCCCCAGTGCTGGGATTACAGGTGTGTAACACCATGCCTGATTTTGGTGGCTGGCTCAGCACCTGGAATTGGCACGGCATGCGGTACCAGGGATCGAATCCAGATTCGTAAGCTTGCCAGGCAGGCATTTAGACTGCTTAGCTATCTCCCTAGCCTGAATGTGTAGTTTAATTTGCATTATGTTTGCAGTTTTTGTGGCTTCTTTTGCTACTGATTTCGAGATCCATTCCACCATAACCTGAAAAAATGTGGGCTAATTTTTTTATTCCTTTGCATTCATGGAAGCTGGTTTTACTAGGTAGTATGTCATCTATTTTGGAGAAAGTATGAGTTGCTGAAAAAATGTGTACAGTGGTGTCTCAGTTTGTGAACTCGGTTTGTTCCAAATTCATGTCTAAATACTGAAAAGTTTGAGAACTGAATATGTGTTTCCCATAAGAAACACTTAAAAAACAAAATAATTGATTCCAAGGCCCCTAGATTACACTTATCAATTTATTTTTCCAGGACTTTAACAAATTTCACAGTGGTTTCTTTTTGTAAGTTTATCATGGCTCTCGCAGTTTTCCTCACAGCTTTACCCTTGGCATCACTAACTCTCATTGGAGTTAAGCTTATGATAGTTTTTACACAAATAAAGTGCAAGAAAAGCACAATTATGAGTATTTTAATGCACTAACACAAGCACAATATGTTGTCTGGGTGTCAGCAGCACTCAGACTGAAGTGTCGCCCTCTTGTGTTCATGGTGAGACAAAACATGGACTCACCCTCAGCCCATATAGATTTTTTCAAATCAGATTTTCAGTTCAACTATTGAGCAAAGTTATAAATTCCAAGCCAATCTTTTTTGAACTTTGCTTTTTAGCTGGGAAAAGTTCAAGCTTGAAGCTGTTTGACAACTGAGATATCACTGGGATTGAACCACATGGTCTATGCTTGTACTAGTGATGTACCACTGAGCTACATCCCCAGTCTAAAACTTCTTCTTTTTTTTTTTTCGGAACCGGGGATTGAACTCAGGCCCTTGTGCTTGCCAGGGAAGCACTTATTCCACTGAGTCATCTCCCCAGCCCCTAAAACTTCTTATCTTCTTTTTTTACACTGAAACCTTTTGAGGTCTAAGACAGGGTATTGTATAGTCCCAGCTCCCTCCTAGGCAGTTCCTTCTAGATGTTTGATGAGTAACAGGTAGAGGAGAATAAATCAGATCCTGCTGGATTTGTGGCAAGAAAGGCTCTGTATGATCTCGATTCTGCCTCTCTCCAACCCTGTTGATATCTCTTACCACTGTTCTTATCACACTAACTTTCCTTTAAGTTTTTGAAAATGCCAAACTGTGACTTCTAGTCCAGGGCTAGGCAAATCTGCCAACTTTATATTAATCCAGTTTTATTAGAGCAGATACGTGCCCATTTGCTTTTGCGTTGTCTTTGGGTGCTTCAGTGCTACAATTGTAGGCTAGAGTCATGTGACATAGGAGACAGAGGCCATATACCTGTGAAGCTCAACATAATTAATGTTGAGGCCTTTACAGAAAGTTTGCCAACCTCTGCTTATATCCTCTGAACCTGCTATAACTTCTAATTTAGAGCTCTGCCCTCAAAAAAATTATAGTAATCAATATGTGTGGTACTCTCCTGGAGATAAACATCCAGGTAAATGGAATAAAATGATGAAGCATGAACTGAACCTTCATATGTATGTTTAAAAGCTTTTCAGCAAGGTTGCCAAGACCATTCATTGAAAGGATGGCCTTTTTAGCAAATGTCGGAAAGGCTGATACCATACGTAAAAGAA